CAACGATAAACTAAAACAAGCAGCTTGAGAGTGCATGCACACAAAGAGAGAGAGAGAGAGAGAGAAAAAGAGGGAGACTCAAGCCCGTGCAATGCAGCATTCGTTGAGGAACGCAAAACCAGTCTCACACTGTCTGTAAACTAAAATGAACAAGGCGATTGCCGTTTGGTTGTCTGGACCGGGAGAGATGTAATTAGAGTGCGGACGACGACCATGGTAGAGATCTACTAACCCGTCACCGAGTCAGCACACTCGTAGTGTAACCGTCCCCGGGAGCAACGTGTAGTGAGTGGAACGAGTATTAGACAAAGCAATACACACACACACACAAGCACCAATTGAAACAACCAAGAAGTACGAAAGCAATTAGGTAAGTGACTGATAATTGAATGCGTTTTTCACATTGCTCATTGCCCGATTTCATCGTACAATTCAAAGATTGGAATGAATTCGGTTCGGCCGAGAATGGGGTATGAAAATTTAATGTGGTCTAGCATTCCGTATTTTTAAATCATCCCCCCCCCCCACCTCACCCCTTTCAACGAAGAGTGAGAACTATGCGTGGAAAAATGTGTTGTCGAATTCGGTCAATTTGTAAAAAGGTTCAAATTCGTCCGTACATTTGTGAATCACAGATTTCAACTTCCCAGAATCATGCTCGTCTAGCTATCATTCATTTGTGGCGTGGATTCGGCATGCTTGATCGGAACGCTTGCCCATCGGTTTTGCTTGTCTGTGTTCGGAAGATCGAAGCTGAGCGGTTGGATGTTTCGATTAATCTCAAGGGACAGGTCTAAGTGAATTCTACTCTAACGAATTTCTTTATCAATGGATTATTTGCTTATTTTCAAATTTTCAACTAACCTGAAGGATTTTAGGTAGCAATTGAACTGCCTAGACATTAAACACGGTCGGATGAAAAGCTTCCATGATATCGATCATAGATTCATGATACAAAAATAATCCTCCCGCCTGCTCTTATTGATCATATAGTGAATTTCGTCGAAAGGTGAGTTGAATAGCTAAGAAACAATGTACATCTGTTTTTATTCGGTATCAACAATAGAATAAATAATTGCATAGACTGCTTTCGTGGATAGGAAAGCGGTCAATCGAAGGGCTGTTCGATGGATTTGTCTCAATATATTACTCTTTTTAGAGAGGAGAGAAGTAGACTACGAAAACACGACTTACGAGAGCTGTGATGATGGTCTTCACTGCGCGACCATCTTCACTTTGTCAAATGGCATCGGGGAACTTGTGATAAGAACCCCCTGTGTCATTCAACATCGCGCGATTCACAGCTCTCCAAGTCCCCATCATAGATTGTTAATTTCGTTAACTCGGTATTGGACTCTCATAACTATGGTATTTATCACTTTTACTGTTCACCACACTAAGGCACTTGGTAAAAAACGAAAAGATGTTGAACTCTATGTGTGTAGGTAGAATTTCAGTTTCTGTGAGCATGTCTTACAGTCCATTTTTCCCACCTCTCACAAAGAACCAAACGAATAAGTCGAAATCATAGTGAATGTGAACAGTTCGTGTGTTATTCACTTGGAAAAAAACACCTAGTGTAAGAGAATGGCTCACGTGGGACATTCCCTAGTGCAATGTCAAAAATTCACCGTACGTCTGGTGATAATTGTCACTTTCGTGGTTCCAGAAAACTTCAACTACAATGAAGAGAAACCTATGATTATCCGGCACAGGCCGCGCATTTATGGCGCAAGCTAAATCACGCTCCCCCCCCCCCCCGNACCATTTTCATCGTCCACGACGCCTCCACCATCGCCGAGACCATCATGATTACTACCATCACCAACATCACAGCTATCTGCCGTAATTGTAACCTAGGAAATCGCTCAGTGCATACGCCATTTGGCACAAGAAAAATGCAAATATTCCATCCGTTTACATGCAACGATATTTAGTCAAATGGCAGATGATGAATCCAGTTTTGCAGTTCGAAGTGAACACCAATCATTCATCGATTGCTACGAAATTAACATACTCATAGTTGCTGATGGTTGTGGAAAGAGAAACTCACCATCTGCAAGATCAGCTGATTGTTTACCAGCAACGGAAGAATGCGATCGGTCACTGGATTCATCAGAACCGGAATCCCCGCCGGGTGAAGACAAATCACCAAGTCCGGTCTCAGCACGCAATTCGGTTCCCGGGACAAGGGCATCTGCGGCGGCCGCAGGCAATGAAATCTTTTCTTGTTTGGCAATGGCTGTGTCACACCGGGGAAATAGGTGAAGGACAATGGGAGTCAAAGAGCACGACAAAATATCATGCAGGAAATATCGAATAAAATGGAAACCGAAAGCTAATTGAACGGAATGTTTATCAATTGGTGACCTCGATCATCTGTATGATTGATTTCCATCCGTGACGACTCAGGAAAACATTGAGTTTTCATCCAAGGGGGGAAGTTGAAATAGGAGTTTATTAAATTCATCCACAGGAAAAGGAAAAGGTCATTCAAATTGAACAGGAAAGCAATTTTCAAACAAACCTCAATATGACCGTGTTTGTTACGATAGGGATAACAATATACTGAGAATATGTTTCCTACACAAAGGTTGAACGGCACGGCAATTGTTCGAATGACCCGAGGAACACCAATCAGGGGGTTCAGATCTAATTCACCTGACGGAAACAGGACATCCAATAGAAGGCAATTCAGTTACTGTAATGGTCTGCAAGGTTCTCTAAACTAATCAAAACCCGTTTGATTTTGGACAATGGCAACAGCCGAGGCCATTCGCTTGTCGAAGCCTGGTCTGAGCGCTCAACACAAATCTGTCTTTAAGCACCTCAACATCTATGACCAAGAAGCGATTACATCATGCGCGAGTAAGACATATATATATATATAGATGAGTGGTGCGCTCATAGTTTGTGATTTCACGGATTAATTAAATGACCGGAGCATATGTTGAACTCTGTACCACGAAAGATCAGTATCACTGCTATTTAATCACGCAAGACAAACTCAAACGAACTCATCCTCAAATCAGATTATACATGTACACGTGTCTGAAAAACAAATGTATACTGTCGCGTGCGCATCGTTGTGCCCACACTAAAAAACCTTTCGTCCTTATATGTTTGATCTTTCGATAGAGAGACAGGGTGTGTGGGTGTGGGTGACACAGAGCGAAACAGATTCGAGCTACATTTGAGTTCTTTTATGTGCAACACGTGTCCACGCTGAGCCGGAAACATGTGTTGGACATAATCACACGTTTCTGTGGGACGCTCACGCATTAGGATTAATATTCTCATCATAGCAGAGGGGAGAGAGGCGTGGAGAGGACAATAACCAGAGCAGTGCGTCGGCGGTCCGGGGGCACATCGTGGCTCGCATGAGAAAGCGTATCCGCTTTGTCTGAACTACAGGAGTAGTGTTGACTCAAAAGAAGAAAGCCATGTACAAGATTAGGCAGAATGGTGGTGGACATTAAAGTCGTACGGACGATGTGTATGTCCACGTGTGTTATGTGTATTAGTACCTTTGATCCTATAGATGTGACTCCTCTGTTTATCGGTTTACATCACCTGGTTACCCTCGAATCATTTCCCGTTTCCTTTGCGTTAGCTAAAGGTGTGCTTGTTTGTTTGTTTGTTTATTTGAATGAATGAATGCATTTGTAAATGATCGCACGTGTGTTTGTGTTGTCTGTGTGACAATCCCAAGACAAAGTGAGAGAGAGAGCGCTTTTACGTGTACTTGTTTGTACGTACATAGAAGCGGAATGGAATGGCAAATCAAATAGTCGGACGAAAAAGAGAACATATGAAAAGCTTTGTGTACAGTGGAGTCGAGCGAGCAGCGGAACCCTGGTGGTTTTGGACGAGTGACAACGGGGTGGGGGGTGGAGGATAGTTTGGTGACCTAAGCAAGCTGAACTAACAGCGATAGTTGGTGATGGAGAAATTATCGTTTGTTTGAATATATGTAACGCGATTACACATGTATACGCACATTTGGAGTTACACTGTCCCATTTTCATCGCTCACAGTATAGTGCAACTTGTGATCGAATAGATAGATACACGGGCACGAGTATACACACACACACACACACACACAAAACACAAATACAAACACACTTATTGTCGAAAATGTCTGTTTTGTTGTGAATGGCTAAAAAATACAAAGCCCGATTCGCTTAACACAATGGGTGGTGTAGTTGAGTTTGTATGTGTGCATGTGTACGTGTAGATAATTTATACCTTGCGTTTATCTCACTCCCGGATATCAACGCTGCATCGTTCATCAAACGTATTCGCCAACACACACATATACACTGAGGCTGATGTGTCAGGCCTTTAATTTGTCTCGAATGTTACACAGATCACAGATAAACATATAGTGGGCAGACCATGGAAGGAGGAGCGTGCGTAGACTGACTAATGGAAAACTGAGTGAACGAGTGAACGAAAGGAGTTTGTGTGTGTGTGTGTGTGTGTGTGTGTGTGTGTGTGTGCGTGAGGTAAAGAGAGAGAATAGGAGCCATGAGATAAGATATGGATCGCCCCGTTCTGAACACCGTCATTCGAAGGCCATTGTCAGCGCTTCCACCGACGACAGCAACCAGTACATTCACCTGTATTTGCAAGTCCACTAACGTCGCCAACATAACCACATTATTGACAAAGACGCTCCTAGAAGTACAAACTTGGGCAAGCAACCAGCGGTAACGCAAACAAACCACCCAGTTCAGACGGTAATCCACCCATCGTCCTCAAAATGTGTGCTCCCGAGGTGACTCCTATTTGACGTTGTCTTTTCAGTCTTTCCCTCCAACTTTCTTCCTTTCCAACCCCCTGGAAACAGGCCGTAATTTTTCCCACTCCCAAACGCGGTGACCTTCCTAACCCAAACAATTACCGACCCAATTGTTCTTTTGAAAGTATTTGAAACTATCATCTCAGACCAGCTACGCATGCTCCTTGAACGCGAAGGACTACTGAGCGACCGCCAGTATGGCTTTCGACTGTCATTCCACCGGTGAACTTCTGGCTCTTGTCTCACAATCTTCGTCAGCTCCACTCAATAACCGCGGGGAAACACACTTGGTCTCGCTTGACATCTCAAAGGCCTTCGATCGAGTTTGACAAGGTCTACTGGCGAAACTACCCATGTTCGGGTTCCCTCCAGCGCTCGTAGAGTGAATATCAAGTTTCCTCGGTAAGCGACCCATCTCCGTCCGAGTTGATGGGGTTCTATCTCAGCCAGTTCCTGTGAACGTTGGTGTTCCTCAGGGTTCAGTACTTGCACCCACTCTCTTCCTTCTATTTATCAATGATCTCCTTTCCCAAACTGCCAACTCGATCCATTCTTTTGCTGACGACGCCACCCTCCACTGCTCTCTCTCTCCCTCTATCTCTTTCTCCTCCTACACTGCTCGCTATGCCCAAACCAACATCGATGGTGACCGTAGTGCAGTTGATGTGTCACTGTACTCCGATCTCGAACACATCTCCTCCTGGGGCATTGCAAACCACGTTTCATTCAATGGTTCTAAAACCTCTTTCCTTTTAATTTCTTTAAAACACTATTTATTCTCCCCCATTTATCTTTTAATTCCACCCGACTACGTTCCACAGACTCTGTTTCTCTTGTTGGATTGCTTATAACTTCTTCTTCTTCTTGCTAGTCCCCTTTCATAGCTTAGATTGCTTGTCGTGCTGGCGCACGGTTGGATTTCTATTTAGCGCCAAACGTTTTTTCACCCCAGTTCATCTTCTATTGTACAAAGCTCAAATCCGCCCTGATCTCGAAAATTGTAGACACGTGTGGAGTTGGGTTTGATCCTCTTCCCTTTCCCTTTTTGATCGTGTTCAACGAAAGGTCATCCGGCTAACCGATGATCCTACCCTAACATTCAGTCTGCAGTTACTAACCCACCGTCGGGCAGTTGCTTCATTGTCCCTGTTCTACCGCTACTATGTTGGTTTTCGTTCTTCGGAACT